GGGGTCGGGGTCATGGTCTCTCTCCGTTCGGTGGGAGCTGGGGATTGGATTTCCCAAGAAGAGCCAGTGCTACGGTGACAGTGGCACTTGGCACCACGTGAATGGGAACATGACAGAGGGGTTGGTCTATCATTTCCATCAAGATGCTAACAAGCTGTTGATCTCAATTCTCTGCCAGGCTTCAGGAGAGAGACTGGCAGGTACTAGACACAGTTGGAGATTGCTGTTAGTTCATCTTGTGGCTTTCTGCACGGACCATCCAGGTCTACCTATCCCACCAAGGGAGCTGTGGGGTATTTTGTGACTTTTTGGGTGGACAGGCACTTTAAGGGTCTGATTAGGTGACATCAGGATGCCGTCAGAGGCTGTTTCTGGGCAGGAAGGAGCTTGGTCTAACCGTGCTGCCTGCAGTGTCAACACCTCCTTCCCAAAGCTCCTGCTGTTGAACACTGGGACCCTCTGATCCTTCTCAGAATGTAACAGGGGCTTCCTTGGAGCTTAGCCTGTCCTGGAGGCTTGCTCCCTCGGCACCAGCTGTAAACAGTGTCCTTCCGTGTTGTACTTTGAGCGGACGATCTTCCGCAACCCCCACCACCGGGCGGGGGGGGCGGGGTGCTGTGGGTCATGGTTAAACCTTCACGGCTCAGTCTGTCTCCCTCTTGCTCTCTTTCCCCGCCTCCCCCCTCCCTACCCCAGAGACATCCGGAAAATAACGCTGCCCAGCATCAGTCGCCTGCGCCATTTCACCAACCAGACCCTACTCGACCTGTTCTTCTACAACAGTCCCACCTACTGCCAGACCATCGTGGACACTGTGGCCAATGAGATGAATCAGCTGCTGAGTGTCTTCCAGCAACGTAACCCGGACTTTCACGGTGGGATCTCCGTGGCCGGCCACAGTCTGGGTAAGGTCCACGTGCCCTGCTGCGATAGTGCTCGGTTCTGTTTCTTGGGTTGACGTTGTCTGTCCCCCACCCCCAACCACCCTTTGTATGGGATGACCAGGGAAGATGGTGGGCCGGGAAGTGGGGTGGTGCATTGTGACGATAGCAGGGGAGATGCCGTCACTCGGACTCCAGGCTCTTTGCTGGTGTTTGGGTTTCGAAGGAGCCGCCCTGCAGGTAGATTGTACAGATCCCACAGTCACTGTAATTGCTTCCAGTGATGCCCCATCCCATCAGAGCCGGGAGGGGACTGAGCTTGCAGGGGGGAAAGCCTTCTCACAGCAATTGGCTCCTTCTCATCTCTCCCAGGCTTTTGAGATTGAGTTGAGGCCCACAGTCACCTGACCAGAGTGTTTGGCCCATTCCCACCCCCAATCAGTCGGTCTGCCTTTACTGAGGAGTTACAGTACAGCAGAGCACAGAACCTTTCGGCCCATTGGCTCAACACCTGTGCTTACCAAAGAGGATGGAATCTCGCCAGTGTGCAAGCAGGCTGTTCGGTCCATCGAGTCCACCTACCCTATGCCTGTAACCCTGCATTTCCCATGGCTAACCCACCTCGCCTGCACATCACTGGATACCCTGGGCTATTTAGCATGGCCAATCCACCTGACCTATCCCTCGGACCGTGGGAGGAAACCCACGCAGATGCATGGAGAACGTGCAAACCCCACACAGACAGTTGCCGGAGGGTAGAATCAAACCTGGCTCCTTGATGCTATGGTTCACCCCTAAGCCACCATGCTGCCTGGCCTCCATACTCGCCTCATTGTATTGTTCAACCTGTTTCACTCCCATGGTTGTAATTTGCCCTTGAATTACATCTTCCCAAGTGGGCTCACGAGCTGACATTTAGGGAGGGACACATGTACCAGGGCAGCGATGGCCAACATCCCCCTCCTTGGGGTCACGACCACTTTCAAGCTTCAAAATGGGGCAAGAGTCGGAGAAATGTTTGGGAGGCAGTGCATTCAGAGTCTCGATTCTGTTTTGAACTCCCTGCGCTGGTCAGGGACACGTGAGCAGCAGGAAGAGGTTGTTGCTGAATTCCTGACCGTGCGCCTGTCTCTGACTAGCATGCTAAAAACAGAGGCTCGGTACTGAACATTACTATCTGGCACTCATCAGGACACAATGCAAGAATGCCACATGTCCAAACAGTCCCAATGATTGACACTCCAGGCAGGGGGGGGTCTGCTGATTGGCTGAGGCGTTGCCATGTGATTGTTTGTTTGAGAGATGCCATTTCATGTGTCTGTCCCATTTTGGGTCGGGGGGAGGTGGGGAATGGAGATTAATCTTGCTGAGGACATAGCAAAGCAAAGTCCAGTGCCAAGGTCACTCTGAAATCCTTTCGGGAACTGGGGGCAATCCTGTTCACACGGAGAGTGATGACGTATGTGGAGCTGACCCCTCGCTGCGGGATTGAAACATGCCTGGTGTTTTACAGGATCCTTGATCCTCTTCGACATTCTCACAAACCAGGCGACCTCCAACCAGAAGGAGCACAGCACGAGTGAGCCAACGGCGAGAAGGGACTGTTGCTCGTGCAGCAAGGTAAGTCCAAGTGGACGTGCTGGGAGACGCTGAACAGAACCCCCTGCTTTGGGGCAAGGTGCTAGGTTTATGGAAAAAGGGGTTTCACTGGGGTTGGCACATGTCTGCAGAACTGGAGGGCTGCGGACTGGGTTTTCTGGAGTTTAAAAACCAAAAGAACTGCGGATGCTGTAAATCAGGAACAAAAGCAGAAGTTGCTGATAAAGCTCAGCAGGTCTGGCAGCATCCGTGAAGGAAAAAGACAGAGTTAAGGTTTCGGGTCCGGTGACCCTTCCTCAGAATTGAGTTTTCTGGAGTTTGTGGTGGGTGGAGTCTCATAGAAACGAACAAAATTCTGACAGGATTGGACAGGGGAAACACAAGAAGAATGTTCCCGATGACCAGGGAGTCCACAAGTCCCATGGAGGTCGGAGTCTAAGGATGTGGGGAAGGTAATTTAGGACTGAGATGAGGAGAAATGTCTTCACCTAGTGAGTGGGGAACCTGTGGAATCCTCTGCCACAGAAAGCAGTTGAGGCCAAAGCGTTGAATATTTTAAAGAAGGTATGTTCCTTAGGGCTAAAGGGATCAAAGGATATGGGGGTGTGGGGGAAGAGTGTGGAAAGCAGGAACGGGGGACTGAGCTGGATGATCAGCCATGATCGTATTGAACGGCACAGCGGGCTCAAACTGCTGAATGGCCTACTCTAGCTCCTATTTTCTACATTTCTTTGCTCAGTCACGGGGGCCTTTGTTGGAGTTGCTCACCTCACACCTTTTATAGCAGCCAGGAGGGAGACAGGGCTCAGGGGTGAGCTGCAGACTTGACGTGGGGCTGGAACACAATGTTGTCACGCTTGGCCAGGAGTTGGTGGAGTGCAGTGGGTCGTGTCCCTGCCTCTGAGCTGGGAGCTTGTGTGTCAAGTCCCTCTCCTGGTTTTGACGATCAAGGAAGCTGTGTTTGTAATTTGGTTGAGGAACAGCCTGTAAATCCCAAATGTACCAACAAAACTCAGGTTGAGGTTGTACACGATATTGGTGAGGCCTCTTCTGGGGTATTGTGTCCAGTTCTAGTCTTACTGTTAGAGGAAGGATATTCTTAAGCTAGAGAGGGTTCAGAAAAGATTCACCAGAATGTTGCCAGGAATGGAGGATTTGAGTTAAATGGATAGGCTGGGACTTTTTTTCACTGGAGTGTCGGAGGCTGAGGGCTGACCTTGTATGAGGGGTGTGGACAGGGTTAATGGTAGGTGATTTTTTTTTTTTTCCCCTGAAGATGGGGGTTCCAAGACACTGGGGCATATTTTTAAGGTGAGAGGAGAAAGATTTTAAAAAGACAAGAGGGGCAAATATTTTACACAGAGGGTCGTTTGTGTGTGGAATGGAGGCTTTCATTACTGTGATGATGAGAGTTCAGAAGCATTTTGTTCCTGTTAGAGTGGTAAGGCTGATAAGATAAGGAACAGTCGATTAATAAAGATATTGAGGCTCTTGTCAAAAATGAAAAATCATCTCATTTCGGATACGGGCAACTTTGGTTCTATTGAGTCTGTTAATCAATATAAAGAGTGTAAGGGAATTCTTAAGAGAGAAATCAGGAAGGCAGAAGGGATATGAGATAGCATTGGCAAATAAAGGTTAAGGATAATCCAGAGGAATTCTACAGATGCATTTAGAGCAAGAGGAGAACGAGGGAGCGGGTAGGGCCTCTTAATGATCAAGGAGATCGTCTTTGTGTTGAACACCAGGAGATGGGAGAGATATTAAATGAATATTTCATGTCAGTTTTAATGGAGGCTGGAGAATGCAGAGAAATAAATTTTTTGATGTTTTAAAAACAGTTCACATTGCAGAAGATTAAGTTTGGAAGGTCTTAGAGAATGTAAAGATGGATGAATCTCGGGGACCTTCGTAGATCATAGAATAGAATCCCTACAGTGTGGAAGTAGGCTGTTCAGCCCATCCAGTCCTCAACGACCCAGCGAAGAGCATCCCACCCAGACCCAGACCCAAACCCTGTAACCCTGAATTTCTTAAGGCTAAACTACCTAACCTAGACATTATGGACAATTTATCATGGCCAATCCACCTGACCTCATCTCATGTATCCCAGAATGTTGTGGGAAGTAAGGGAGGAAATTGTGAGACCCATTACAGAAATCTTTACATCATCTATAACTATATGTATGAGGTACCTGATGACTGGAGGGTGGCTAATGTTGTACCGTAATTTAAGAAAGGTTGTAAGGAGAAGCAGGGAACCTATAGATCTGAGAGTCTGACTTCAGTTGTGGGTAAATTGTTGGAGGTGCTTATGAAAGACAGGATTTATGGACATTGAGGGGCAAAAATTCATGAGGCACAGTCAGCATGGTTTTGTGAGAGGAAAACAATGTCTCTCAAACTTGATTGAGTTTTTAAAATAGGTTTCCAAAAATGATTGCTGATTGTAGAGCAGCAGACATTGTTTATTTGGCTTTTAATAAAGCCTTTGACAAGGTTCCGCATGGTGGACTAATTAATAAAGTTAGGTCATATGGGATTCAGGGTGACTTTGCCCATTGGATACATAATTGGCTTACTGGTGGGAGACAGAGTAATGGTGGAGGGTTGCTTTTTGTACTGGAGGCCTGTGACCAGCGGCGTTCCACAGGGATCGCTTCTGGGTTCTCTTTTGCCTGTCATTTATATAAATGATTGGGTGAGAATATAGAAGGCATGGTTAGTAAGTTTGCAGACAACACCAGAATTGGTGGCAGAGCAGACAGTGAAGAAAGTTTTCTAAGATTACTGAGGGACCTTGATGAAATCGGTCAGTGGACTTTTTTAAAAAAAAAAGGCAGATGGGTTCGATCTGGATAAATGTGAGGTAAAGTCAGTTCTGCTCTAATGCATGTTTGTTCAATCCGAATTGGCATTAAAGTGATTGGAGAATTTAGACCGCTATTTGTAGAACATGAACTTTCCTTTCCTGTATTGGCTCTCGTGCGATTCCAGCCCCGTTAGTTTAAATGGTGCAGCTATTGTGTGATTTTCTTAGACCGCACGAGAACGGAACTAACGCATTGTACCAGAACTGACTGTATTGCATTTGGTACAATCAACAAGGACAGAACTTAGACAATTAATGGTAGGGTCTGGGTAGTGCTGTAGAACAGAGGGACCTAGGGGTTGAGGTACTTAATTCATTGAAGTTTGCTTCATATATGGACAGGGTGGTTAAAAAGGCGTTTGGTACACTTGCCTTCATTGCTCAGTCCTTGCAGTACTGTGTCCAATTCTGGTCATCCAGTTATAGGAAAGATATTGTTAAACTGGAGACGGTTCTGTTAAGATTTACCAGGATGTTGCTGGGTATAGAAGGTTTGAGTTATAAAGAAAGGTTGGATAGGTTGGGACTTTGTTGACTGGAACGTAGGAGGTTGAGACGCAACCTGATAGAAGTCTATAACATAATGAGGGGTGTAGATAGAGTTAATGACAGTTGTCTTTTCCCTAGGATGGGGGCTTTCAAGACTAGGGGATGCATTTTTAAGGTGAGAGGAGAGAGATTTTAAAAAAGATATGAGAGGCACATTTTTTACACAGAAGGTAGATTGCGTGTGTGAAATTAACTTTGTGAGGATGTGGTTGATGTGGGTACAGTTTAAAAGATATTGGGCTAAGTACATGAATAGGAAAGGTTTGGAGGGATACGAACCAGGAGCAGGCAGGTGGGACCAGTTGAGTTTGGGATTACGTTCGGCATGGACTGGTTGGACCGAAAGGTCTGTTTTCATGCTGTATGACTATTTGACTCTAACAGCATCAAGCAATTCTTGTCACCCCTGTGCTAGTTGAAATAAAACAACACTGGAGTCTTCACCAACGCTATCCACAGATGGGAGTGTGAAACAGGGTTTGTAGCTGCACCAACCCAGGTTGCGTGGGGTCTCTCCCATGGGGATCAGTCCGGTGCTAACTGCACTGGTTCCGATCCCCATCCCATGTGCGGTGGATTCAGGAGGTGCCTTTCTGTCCAGTCTCTGGTGGAGCTCACCCTGCTGTGGGATGGACCTACCCTTGGATCGAGATGGTTGAACGGGAGCGGAGCTGGTTCCTGTGGCTGTCCCAGGCTAAATCGGGACTTTGTCAAGGTGAAAGTTTCCCGTGCCAAAGGAATACAGGATTCTTTCCCTGAAGCCTGCGCAGTCAGTTGTGAATTTGATCTCTGAGCTGGGAGAGTGCTGGTGACCTTGTTGGAGAGGCTGCAGTGAGGGGTGTGGGCCGAAAGCTGTGAAATGGATTTTAGAGGGTTTTCAATGGAATGACGGAACAGGTTTGAGGGGCCCAAGGGCCGTCTCTTGGTGCACGTTTTATCGAACTACAGTTTGAGAACTTCACCTTGAGCCTCTCTCTTGCAGTGAAGTATTGCTGCTCAAATCACAGAAATATAGGATAGAAACAAGGAGCAGGAGGAGGCTGTTCGGCCCTCTGAGGCAGCTGAGCCATTCACCATGATCATGGCTTACCATCCAACTCGGTCCCCTGTTCCTGCTTCTCCCTCGTATCCTTTAGCTTCTCAGAATCAATTCATGTGATTGCCTACTGCTTGCCATTGATAACCCTGCTGTTGCTCGACCTCAGTACCATGTGTGTCTGGGGTAAGGCACTCAGCGACAGGAATCTTGCTCGGGTTGGAGCACAATGCTGAAGCATTTTCTCCTTGCTCCCCAAGGAGACGAGTTTGGAGCAAGCTCTGAAGGTGCACGGACTCTCGGAATTCCTGAGCGTTTTGGAAAAGGAGAAGTTGGACCTGGAGTCGCTGGTGAGACCCACCTGCATATCTTCACCGCTTTCATTTTCTCTCCCCTGCTTTGTGGTTTGATTTCACTCTGTTCATGTCAGCTCCACTGCTTTCGCCATCACCCCCAGCTCTCTCCCCCTGCTTCCCCCGATCCTCCTTGGTCATCGAGAATCTGTCCACCTCTGCCTCCTAAACGAAATGATTTGAGGATTCTGTACCCGCTGCTCGAGGGAGGGGTCTGCAAACACTTCCCCACTCCCTCAGTGTTGCTTGTGCTGTTGTCCTCAGGTCATGTGCTCGGATGCTGAGCTGAAGGAATTGGGGATCCCGCTGGGACCCAGGAAGAAGATGTTGAGCCTGGGAAGGGAGCTGGCTGGAGTGCAGGTACACCAAGGGTCGCTGTGTCACTGTGGGCTGAGGCACTCGGCCTGCATCTCCCGCTGTGTACGGTCGAGTTGCCTCAGCACTGGGTTGGAGGGTCGGGGAGCTGGAGGGTACTGGCTTTGATTAGGACTCAGTGGCAAATGGCCATTGAAACCAACTCAATTGTGGGGGGCTGGCAGTGCGCTTGGGTTGGCAAAGCCAGGGGGAGCAGCCAACAGGGCTTTTGGAGGGGGGGAGCAGGGGTTGAGTGCCTAGTGGGTAGGGGACACAATGCCCTCCCCATTGATGGGGGGGTGTGGGGTTACCCTGCGGCCTCTTGCTGTGCCAAGCTTTCCTTCACTGATGGGGTCTTGTCCCGCTATGTAGCAGGAGCAGATGGGCGAGCCGGCAGTGAGGCCTGTTCCTGAGAAAACTAGCCAAGCCAGAGAGCGGGTAGGCGGTGGCGAGGATTCCCAGCGTCCGCTCTCCACCAGCAGCGTCACCTCGGTCAGCTACGAGCAGTTCGATGTCGGCATTGGTCAGGTAAGCTCCCTGTTTTGGCGGTCCATGCTAGAAGCCCCTCTGTCTTTCTCGAGCCTGCTTAGCTGTTCAATACGATCATGGCTGATCTCATCTCGGCCTCAACTCCACCTTCCTGCCCCGCTCTCCAAAACCCTTCGACCCATTACTAATTCTCTGTCTCCTCTTTTATGTTACTCAGTGTCCCAGCATCCACTGCATTCTGGGGCACTGAGTGCCAAAGATTCATGACCGTCTGTGACTCCTCCTCATCTCTGTTTTAAATCTCCTGCCCCCTCATCCTAAAACCATGACCTCCTCTCATTCTGGATTGCCCCACGCAAGGAAACATCAGCTCCACATCTGATTTGTCAGTCCCCTTTAGCAGCCGATGTCCCTCAATGAGATCTCGTCTCACTCTGCTGAACTGCAGACAGTATCAGCCTGAGTTGCTTAATCTCTCTTCGTAAGACAAGCCCTCTTTGGAATCAATCTCGTGACATTGCTCTGAACTGCAACTGCATACCTCTCCTGTCAGGGGACCAGAACTGTACATAATACTGAGGTGCAGTCCTACTCGTGACTTGCACCATTGTAGCAACACGTTCCCTATTTTAATGTTCCACTTGTTTTGCAATAATGCTGAAATTCTGTTGCCTCCCTTATTACCTGCTGTACCGGGAAACTACATGAATGTGATTCATGTGGGAGGACAACCAGATCTGTCTGCACTGCAGCATTCTGCAGGCTGTCTCCATCTCGATGATAATCGGCCTTTCTCTTCTTCTTACTGAAATGGGTAGCCTCGCAATTATCCACGTTAAAATCTATCTGTCGAATGTCGGCCCATTCACCAAACCTACCCCAATCCTTTTGTAAATTTCTGGTGAGATTACTTTCTGTCCCCACATCCAACTGGTATAATCCATGGGGAGTGCTGACGTGGATTATACCTGTTGGTTTACATTGTTCGAGTTTGCTGTTGTTGGTCATGAATACAGGGATACGAACCTTTAGGAAAACATGTTCCTCCAGTCCTGGGACAGGCTCCACTTCCTGTATTTTTCCCATTGACTCCGGGAATGTGGGTGGTCCCAACATTTATTGCCCACCTCTAGGTCGCCCTGGTGTAAGCTGGTGGTGAGCTGCCTTCAGTCCATGTGCTGTTGGTCCCTCATCAGCTTCAGTCAAAAATCTATTCTCATGGAAGATGATCTCGAACGTCCTTCGCAATGGAGGATCCACAGCTCTCCTGGGGTAGAGAATTCCCAAGGTCAGCTCCAGCTGACACCTTTTTCCGACCGGATTGACGAGGTTGGGTTGGTGAGGGGACTCTGCCAAGGACCCCCATTCCACCCCCCCCAACCCCACAGAGGACAGTCTGCCATTTGGTGAGACCACCCGTCCTTTCTCAAGGTGGTCGTCCCTCTCGTATTGACCCCTCATCCCGGGAAGCCATCGGGAATTCCGGCTGCAGCAAAGGAGAAATGGTTTCTCTGGCCTGGGTGGCTCATAGCTGACCTCTCGGATCAAGTTGTAAAAAGATTGCGTTTTTGTTCCCTCCGTCCCGCTGCCCCACCCCCCACAGGTTTCGGTGAATTACCCCCGGATCGGATTTGAGCCAGCCATCTTTTTCGCCTTTGGCTCGCCAATTGGAATGTTTCTGACTGTCCGAGGCCTGAAGAGGATTGACCCTAACTACACCTTCCCAACATGCAAGAGGTTCTTCAACATTTATCATCCTGTAAGTATCTGCTTCAGCGACTCGCGTCAGATACCACCTCAGGCCTGAGGATCAAATCGGTCATTGGAAGGGGTTTCGGGGGGTGGGGGTTGGGGAGTGCCTGTCTCTGACTTGCAGCGATGTGAATGACAAAGAGAATTGGATCAGCGTGAGTCCCCACAGTCGCCCATCAGGAGTTTCCAAGCGACAAAGAGACACAGTGTGGCAGCATCCATGGCTTACAGGGCCACACTGGTGCTGTTTCCCATCCAGTACAGGAGTGAAATCCTCTTGGCATTGGTGTGGGTGTCGCTGGCTGGCCTCAGCATTTATTGCCCCGTCCCTAGTTGCCCATTGAGAAGGTGGGGGTGAGCTGCCTTCTTGAACCACTGCAGTCCATGTGCTGTGGGTTGACGCACAATGCCCTTATAGGGAGGGAATTCCAGGATTTTGACCCAGCGACAGTGAAGGAACGTGATATATTTCCAAGTCAGGATGGTGAGTGGCTTGGAGGGGAACTTGGTGGTGTTCCCATGTATCTGCTGCCCTTGTCCTTCTGGATGGAAGTGGTCATGGGTTTGGAAGGTACTGTCTGAGGATCTTTGGTGAATTCCTGAAGTGCATCTTGTAGACAGTACACACTGCTGGTACTGAGTGTTGGTGGGTGTGGTGCCAATCAAGTGGGGGCAGCTTTGTCCTAGGTGGTATCAAGCTTCATGTGTGTTGTTGGAGCTGCACCCAACCAGGCAAGTGGGGAGTATTCCATCTCACTCCTGACTTGTGCCTTGTAGGTGGTGGACAGGCTTTGGGGAGTTAGGAGGTGAGTTACTTGCCACAGGATTCCTAGCCGGGAATATCGGGGAGGTGATGGCCTAGTGGTATTATCACTGGACTATTAATCCAGAGACCCAGGTCATATTCTTGCGTTTGAATCCGGCCATGGCAGATGGTGGAATTTGAATTCGGTAAAAATCTGGAATTTAGAGCCTCACGGTGACCATGAATCCAATATAGATTGTCATAAAAAGCCACCTAGTTCACTCATGCCATTCTGACCTGATCTGGCCTACGTGTGACTCCAGACCTGCAACGTTGAGGTTGACTCTTAATTGCTGTCTGGTTTGGGTTCTAAATGCTGGCCTAGCCTGCGATGCTGTCATCCCATGAAATAATAAATGAAAAAGCCTCTGACCTGACCTTGAAGCCACAGTGTTTAGATGGTGATGAGTTCCTGGTCAATGAAGAATGTTGATGATGATGAAGAGGTTCCTTTACCAGCTGGTCTCCCCTTGTTGGTGATGGTGTCCTCCATGAAGGTTGTTGGAGGGAGGGGGTGGGTGTTCAGAGCCAATCAGAGTTCACACGGTGAGTATAACTCGCAGGGTCTTTGACCTTGTGTCTGTCTGTCTTTCCTGCTGCAGTTTGACCCCGTGGCCTACAGGATTGAACCCATGATTGTGCCAGATCTAGAATTGGAACCGATGCTCATCCCTCACCACAAGGGCAGGAAGAGAATGCACCTGGGTAAGGCACCGTACTGCTGCCTGCAAACCCCACTACACAGGGGGCTGGTCCCACCTGCCAACCTGAGGCAAATCCACAATGATTCTCCACTGAACATCTATCAGCAAGTATGGAAATGGTGAAGCCCCCCACCCCTGGCCTCAGCATGCAGTTCTGACGTATCTGGGCAAGTTCTCTCCCTGAGGATGTACAGTCCACCAGGACTGGAGGTGGGGGGACACAGTTGAGCTGTTTTCCCCATTCCTTGGTTCTTGGAAAGAGCGGCCCAATTGGTGCCTTTTCCTCACTGCCCACTGAGGCTCACTGTTCCAATCGTCCGGCTTCCTTCGACTGCGCATTGGACAAGGCAGACCCATGAATGTCTGTGTGGGTGAAGTCGCCCGGTCTTTGAGGGAATGGGCGGTGGGCATGGCCAGACTGCCCATCTCTGGTGAGCTCAGCACTGGGGTGCCGTGCGTTTGGTCACAGCCTCTCTGTCATGCAGTGGTATAACGATGTCGGACAGTCGGGAACCCCCACTCACCGCTCCTTAGACACTGTGCTCCGCTGTCTGAACTGGACACTCAGTCCCGCAGCAGGGCTGCATCTCTGTAGCCAGCTCTCAACCCATCTTTGACCCTCCTGTCTGGGTGGGTGGATGTGTATGTGTGTGTGTGTGTGTGTGTGTGTCCGTGTCTGGGCGGGTCTGTATATCCCTGTCTGTCCCTGGTGTCATATCCGTGTTTGGCGTGTGTCAAACAGCCTGTCTCCTGGTAATTGTCTCTGTCCTGGATACCCACGTTGGTTTTTTTTTTGTTTTTCTCTCTCCAAACAGAACTGAAGGACAGCCTGACACGGATGGGCACTGACATAAAGAACGGTCTGTTTTGCTCGCTGAGGAATGCCTGGCAATCGTTTACCCGCATCCAGTCCCCGATGCCACAGCTGCTGCCGGATACCGCTGCAATACAAGCCAACCAATCAGCGGCCAAGGATAGTGAAGGTGGTGCCTACTTCCTGTCTCCCTGCCCC